AATCACTTACAGTTTGCACCGTAATTGCTGAGTGATCTTTCAAGATCGCAGAACCGTTGCCGACATCCCGACGGCGGATGGAGTCTCCCGTCCTTTGGCGCCTGATCGTACGGTAGCGTCGGTTCGAACCATGCAGGTTCCGAAGCCTCGCAAATTGCAACGCTCATGCAATGACACTTGCATCGTGACAGTCGATGCTACTAGTACTTCGTAGGAGCTATGATGTTTGTTCGTTCCTGATCCACAAACAAATACAATATAGGTCAGTCACCTTCGTGTACCGGCACAATAAGGGTGAACAGCAGATCATACATCGCTTTACCCAGCTTTTCAGGCCAGAGTTGCCCAAGGATAGTAGGCTCGGTCGACCCAGCACAGTCGGAGGAGCGGATAGGGACCAATTTGTCAAAGCTTGATTCGAGCATCGGTTCTCCGTACTCGCGTCCGCCACTGTCTAGTCCTCATCCCTGCAAGCGAGCAGGCTTTTCTCTCTCTCTCTCTGTGAGAGCATGTGAATATGGCGACTGGACCTGGGTCTAACATGTATGAAGCAAGTACAACCATGGATAATCAAGTTTCACTTGAAGTATAAACTACGGACCTCCTTCGAGTTAGAGCCTCGAAGTCGTCTCTGGCCACCAAGTGGACGGCATCGTGTTCATTTAGATCAGACCGACACTGAGGCCTGATCGACAGACAAACCGAACCGAGATTGACCAGAGCTAATCAGCGATCACTGACGGGCAGAACCGTCATGGCGTCAGCTAAAGCGAGGGAATATTCAAGTGCCTTGCTACCTATCATAGTATTGTCTAATATGCCGTAGTCTCAGACAAGTATCTAACCTAGGAGAGATGACATACGTGCTGATCTCACTCTCATCAAACCTGGTTCGGCCCCAGAGTTCGAGTTAATCCACGTATAAACGCCAGCCTGAAACGGGTCCAGCTTGGCATCCAATGATCCAAAGCTCTTCTAGCTAATCGTTTGTCGACTATCATAATTGTCGTCATTGTCTCACAGCCAAATACTCTCCCCATGGATATCCGCCATGCATCAGCTCAACCACAGCATCTCGATGTAACATGAAAGACAGCATCCAGCCGGTAATATGCGATTCTCTGAGAGAGACCAATTTACCCGGAGCCAACGACAAGGATCCAGCACGGCCGCAGAGTACAGTAAACTAGAGACATAGTTACTCCGTAGTCCGTACATATGAGCCCATCGACCATATCCATTTGCGGCCAACTGCCCGGTGAGGCAACCAAATCTGTACCTAAGATCCATGTAATTGCATACGTCCGCAGCACTGGCTCCGTCTAGTGGCTTAGGTTACTGTGTAGCCATCCTCTAGTCTTCGGGCCTTCGTATCAACTACCTTAGCAAAGATGCACTGTGCCCTACGGCGCAGTCACTGTCAATGTCAGCCCAAAACACGGACACACAAGCCGAACAAGCTGAGCCACGGCACCAGGACCTCCAAATCTCATCGGCAAGTAAGCCCGTAAGGGAAGCAAAACGGTCAAGGCTGAAGCACCGCAATCCCCAACCGTCGATCCGAAACATACCCAAGGGCTCTCTCTGACTCTGAGTCTAGGCTCGCTCTACTAAGCGTCCATCCAAGAGGTAAATTAAATATCGGTACTTTTTCTGTCCCTGCACGAGCCGGAACAGAGCTACAACGGCCACGCCGTCCCGAAGCAAACCGTCCAGACTTTGCCCTGCACTTTTTGGTACAATTGAACAGACAGCCGCCAAGGGCCACGATCCTGAATCCTCCAGTTAGCCCAGTCCATCCTGAGGAACCAGTCAAAACCCAGCATATATATTAACCTGTTAGTTATCCCAGACAACATCCTAGACAAACCTAACAAGAGATTCTGAGGACACGGGAAAAATGAAAAATTCGAATTAGGGAAAGGCAGGGGACGGAGCTGCGGTTGTACATATCCTAAGATCCACAAAATGCGCGGTAAGTACTATTCTTCTGTGGATATGAAGAATCTACATGAGACCACGGAGGATGCTAGGATGACGGATGTCGCATGCGCAGAAGCGAGCAAGCAAGCACGCACGCAAACATAGCTGCCAGACCCAGAGCCAGAGCCAGGGTCAGTGGTGTAGATGCTTGTGATTGTGGGGACTATATATAGATACCCTCGAACCGAAGCAACGCTACTAGACAGTTCTCGAGACTGATCCTAAGAAATGGTAAATTATCGGGAACCATCGGCCGACTAAAATAACCGAGCCGTCAAGCACCCTGTTTAGCTCGCTGGATTATATGCCGCATCCATGGTTATAGTCCATTGGTGGTGCATATGCCAGTTATATTAAAGCCCAGGCGACCTCCCGTGCAACTCGTATGACGAAACCCTCTAGAGCAGAGTCTAAAATTGTTTGCGTGTTTCTGTTTGCGGCTTGCGGTATACTCTTTCAGTATATGTTGCGAGTCGATCGATACCATGAGACTTATTTGAGGGGATTATGTTATGGACCGGGATTGAGACGTGTAGATTGCTTCGGATAAGTATGGTTGCAGAAGCTTGGTCTACTTACTCCTGACTTCGGGTACCTCTTCGTTTGCTGGATACAGGTTGTCAATTAGCGAAGCTCTTGTCAGACCTTCGAGATGCGACTTCTTAAGATATTGAGAAAGTTCATGGTTACAATGATACCAGGACAGTTACTCATACTCAATCATATTAACATAATGGGTATTGCAAAAGCATAGATTCATTTGCGATGGCTACCTTTTTGACCGTAGTAAAAAACAAACTCGTGTCAGACCCTAATCATCCCAGACTAAATTTACTCCTCGTGGAGGGTGTTCAAGAACTCCTTGGAGGGATGAGCAGGCTTCTCAGACTCAACAGGCTTCTGGCCCAGCTTCTCCTTGGAGAAAGCAGCGGCGTAAGGGTTGAGGCGGAGCATGACCTGCTTGTTGCGAAGAGGGTTCTTCTTCTGCACAACGGTACGCTTGGTGCGAGCCTCGCCCTTGGGAGCGCGCAGCACGGACTGGATTTCAGAGGAGTTGATCAGGCGGGCCAGATCGGCGTTGGCAACAAGGTTCTGGGGCAGGACGTAGTCCTTCTTGAGAGCAGCGGGGGTGGTGGTGCTGCCGTAGACCTGGTCAAGGGCCTCGAAGGCAGAGGAGGTCCAGACGATGAAGCGACCGAGGTGACCACCGGGGGCGAGCTGGAGGAGGTTCAGGGAGAAGACGGAAGAGGTCTCAACACCGGGGATGTTGCGGAAAGCACGGACGAGCTCCTTGCCGTCAACCTCGGGGTTGTAGACGACGAGGGGACCGCGGCGCTGGCGGTAGCGGCGGTTCCTCAGCTTACCCTTACCGGCGCGCATCTTCTTGGACTTCTGCACCTTGACGAGCTCGGCGCCGGCACCGACAGCTTTGAGCAGGGCAATGGCGGCCTTGGTCTTGGCAATGGCGGCGTTCTCGAAGGTCTTGGACTCAACGACCAGAGGAACCTCGGGCACGTTGGCAATGCGGTGACCGCGAGCGAACAGAAGAGAAGGAACGGAAGAAGCAGCAAGGGCGGAAGCGGTAGCGAAGCGCCTGTAAAATCCGTGTTAGCCATTCAACACTCCCAACCATCTCATTCGAGAGTCTCTTCGTCCGACCGCTCGATTCGTAGAAAGGATTGCATACTTCTGTCCCAGGTTGACCTTCTGGTGCCACTTTCTCCAGACCTTGGTGGGAGCGAACATACGACCGGAACGGCACTGGTTACCGAACGCAGCCTGACCAGCACGGTGAGTACCACCACCTGAGACACGAGGGATACGAGCGACGGCACGACCTGCACTCAGAATAAGTATTTTGTAAAAACCCCCCATTTCAATTGCTCCCCCAATCGAGCAAATTCCAACATACCGGTACCCCAGGACTCAGCGGAAGTCTGTTCACCAGCCTTCTCGCTCACAGCATAAGGCTGTCTCTTGTTCTTCGCCATACCGGTGTGAACCTGCCTACAATCACACAAAGTCAGCCCGATAATTTTCTCTCCTATTCTCCTTCCTCGCGCCTTTCTTCTCTCCCCCGGTAATTTCTGGATTGCGGTAGGCATACTGGACGATATCAGGACGGATGGGCGCAGTGAAGACAGCAGGCAGGGGCAGAGTAGCCCCGCTGGGCTTGCCATCAGCCGTGGCGATAGTGACGGTAGGGCGGGACGCCATTGTTGTCGACGGTGAGCTGGTCGTTGTCGTCGTTTTCGGAGTTGAAGATCGAGTCTCGAGCTCACGATGTGCTGAGGGAAATTTTCGCTTAGCCCGCACTCCCGCCGGTGGTGGGTGCGAGAAACCCTAAACCCTTCCTTGCCGTTTTCGGTTGGCTCGCTGCCGAGCGCCAAGACCTGTCCAGCTGTACCCTGTACGATAACAACACCAAAACTCATCCATTACAGGACTTGCTCTCTCACACTCGTTTGATGATAATTGGTTCAATAAGGCAGCATGTATCCTATTTAAATTTGTGGATTCTGTATCCTGACATTGCTGTTGAGTTTGAACACGATTTGCGATATACGAGGCGACACTGTGCCAAGACAACAGTAATCTATTGATCGAAAGGACTTTTGCTTGTTATGATCATGACATTATCCATGACGATCACACGGAATAGCTACGAAACTCTTTGAAGATTACAGAAAAAAATTGCGCCAATTGCTCATTTCTATTCAAGGATCGCTAGCAGACTCCCGCCTAATGAATAAGCCACATTTAACTCCAGGAAATGTTCTTCATTGCTTAGGATGGTACAGGAGCCAGGATAGGCAAAGAATGAGATTGACAAAAAAGGGTCCATTGCAAACTACACTTGCTTGCGAAAGGAAACGAAAGTAGAGAAAATGTTTTGTTTGCGTCAAAACTTCTTGTTTTGCCGAGCCGCCGTATTTGATCTTTCCATTTGAGAGTAGACGATTGCTTGTCGCCCGAACCAGCGGAACGCAAACACACTCTTCCCATGAACGTCGAGCTTAAGCGTGGCGGTGGCCACCGTGAGCGCACTTCCTGTGGCGCATGGCGTTGATCATGCGAGGCTTCACAGCTGTGGCCGAGATGGCGAAATTCGCGTTCTGGCCGACGGTGCACTGAGTACCAGCCGCCATCTGCTGAGCCACGGTCCATTGACCGTTGGCGCAGCGCTGGAAGGAAGAGCCGTCGATGCAGTTCCAGAGACCCTCGGGGCTGCAGGAACCAGTCAAGGCTCCAGAGCTCGAGGAAGAGGAACCGGACCCAGAGCCACTACCGGAAGACGAAGACGAGGGTGCGGCGGACGCCGTAGGCCGCGCAGGGACGACAGTAGCCGAAGTAGGAGCGAAAACACCTTCAGACTCGGCAGGCTCACTGCTGCTGGGTTCAGGCGCAGCGGTGGGAGCGGCAGTAGCACCGACAGATGCGCCAACGCTGACGCTGACGCCGGCACCGGCACCAGCTGTAGTGGAAGAGGAGCTTGCAGCAGTGGAAGGAGAGCTAGAGCCGCCGCTGACAGTCCACGCGGGAGTACCAGAGCACGCAGCTTCACCAGAGGCCTGGAGATTGCTCGGGTTTCCGTCGTACTCGACAGCATCACCAGGGTTGGGGAAGCGAATGTCAACGCCATCTTTGGTGGTGCAACCGTTGATGTTGGCGACGAACATGGCGGGAAAGCTGGAGGAGCGCTTCTCAACCTCGACCTTCTCGGCGACAGGGGCTGCATCGCGCTTGGTGGAGCCGCTGGTGACCGTGATGGGAGCACAGTTCATGTACATCTCACGGTTACCGATGCGGTTGAACCAGGTCCAGGCCAGAGTATATTTGCCGGGCTCAATGCCAGCAGGGATGGTGTAGTTGAATTCGAACGGATCCGCGGCGCCAGCACCACCCGACATATTGCCGTCCACGTTGGCGGGACATCCACCTTCAATAGACTTGATAACCATCCAAGTGGAGTCCTTGGAAGGCTTGAGGTCGGTGGTCAAACTGACCTGGCAAGAACCACCGCCGTGCGTGGCGCTGCCGGTGAAGGTCAAGGGCATAGCCTCACCGATCTGAGCGATGGTCTCCTCCGAAGGAGCCACGAAGGCGTTGTCCCGGAGCTTGCAGGGGAAGTCACTTCCGTCAGCAGCGAGAGGGGAATTGTTAAGGCTCGAGTCGCTGTAGGGAATGGGTTTGCTCATCTTCATATGAGCTTCGACTGCAGAGGCCCCGAGCATGGCTGCAGCCACGAGACCAGACTTGGAGAACATCATTTTGACAAGGGAGTGTCGGTTGTTCGACTTTCAGAATGACTGTTTGACAGCTGAAATGAAGGAGTGGCTGCAAGGCTTTCTGATCGTACCAGACGACTCAGAAATTGTAGAAACTGGAAAGAGGAAGCTTTCTAGGGATTGAAGTTAGCCAAGGAGGAAATCAAACGCGAGAATGTTTAGAGATTTTAAAAAGTCCTCAACAGCAACACCTTCTCATTGGTAAGACAGTGGCAGTAGTCCTCTGGCCCGCCTCTATTCATTTGCTCCACAGAGACCAACAATAGAGACCGATCACAAGGACATTGTAAGAGACAAGAGGAGAAGACGTTGAATAGGAGAGTAGGTAATAGAACAATACCTTTGTAGCGATCTCACAAGAATCAGCGAGACCGTTCAGATGTCCTGAGAAAGAAAAGCTTTGTGTAGTTGTCTGACACTTGTGTTTCTCTGCTTGCAGAAAAAGGAATGTAGGGGTCTGCCACAGGCAAAACACCAGAGTATCTAAAAGGAAAGAAGAAAAGAAAGACAGGAACTGGCCTGTAAGAGACTGTCGAACAGTGGTAAGTCTGAAGAACCGAAGCGCTCAGCGTTATGCGGAAAGAAAGAATGCGAAGAGAGATGATTTCTGGATTATATAGAAGGCATTCACCTCACTGACTACCGTAGTGGGGTTAGACATCGGCTGCCAGTATATCGACGAGAGCAGTTCCACTTGGTTGATTTCATTTTTTCTACGAATCTCCATCTCTGCAGGGTTCTCGAATGACTCAGGTCCAACAATAATCCAGCAATGTCGAAAGGCATTACCAAGTAGCCCCAGGCGTGCTTCTCCGTACTGCCGTACAGAAAGAACATCTGGATCCTCAATGGATGCAACAGGGACTGAAACATCTAACAACGCGAACTCCACTCGCACATTTTGTGCTGTCCATCTGTAGGACAATCCAGGTACGCAGCGGTAGCATCCGCCACCGGATTGGAATCCTCAGCCGGACCCCCTCTGCCGGAGACGCGCTGAATGTAGCTGAGTGGCTGTTTGGATTTGCCAGGGGAGAATGTGCATTGACGCATTGTAGCGAGTCAGCGATCAGCATTGCTGAGGGCGCCAAGATACCGCACTTGCGTCTGGACGTGGATGTCGCACCATTAGCCAAGTGCAGCGTACCTGACCTTAGCTGGAGGTGCACATTGGCTGGTTACATTTGGCTGGTGGGCGCTTTGCGAGGACAGCGATGGCAAACAGCGGATCGGCGGCCAATCAGATTGAGAGTGGATATGCTTGATGAGCCTCCGTGAATTATAGTTCATTTAGAGGGAGTCAGTGGGACAATATCAAGACAATGATATTATTAAATAAATTATCGTCTATAGTGAGGTAGTATTTGTTACTGATACTTATTCAGAGAGAAATAGGTCAATGGTCAATGGCATTGAAGCCAATCTCGTTTGACCAGCGTATAGTAGATAGGTCGAGTGAATCAATATCTGTTCATTTGACAGGAACACTTGGCAACCGGCGATCCAAACCTACATGAATCTACAATTCTGCCTAGTGCCAAAGACATTATTATTGATGACTCGAAATCAGGCAATTACGTCGCTGGGAAGAGGGATATCTCTATTGGCTATTCTAAAACGCCGCGGTGGAACGGCCCCATTTAATACTGGTAGTTTGCACATCTAGCTCTCTACAAGATGTCTCACTTTCCTCAGGCCACGGGATAGAGTAGTATCTGAAAGTCGTCAGATACCCCGATAGAGTACCGACGTTGCATAGAATTCAATTGCCCAGACGCTTGGTCAACATATCCTGGTCCTAGACGTTGGCTATTCGGTGCTCTCAAATGGTGCGGCTTAGCGCGTTCTGACGTGGACTCGACTTTCCAATGTTAATCACAGCACCATGGCCTGCAAGTTGATGTCACTGGTCACAATTTTGGATTTGCCAGCAGCAAGGACCGATCATGATCAAGGTAATACTTACAGAACACTAGATAGGTCGACAGGATAGTAGTATGTATCTAGAAATTGAATGTCCAGCCTCCTCTTCCAGCCATGGATCAATTCTCCGCATTCGACCCATGAAGCAAGATTATCTGGAACCAACCGATGGGAGTTTCAAGGGATCGCAGATTCACAAGCATGTGAAATCAAGTAGAAATTAATACCAAGAAACACATCTCGCTTAAAATTAGGCCGTGATTGAGCAAAAGCGGTGTTTCAAGGAGTCAGGTTGCCCATATTGGAGACTCAAAATCGCGACCGATGAGCTTGTGGAGGCTTGGCAAGTGAGGTAACCTCATGTTTCAGATTGATGTTTCCAATTACCATGTGGTTCCTTCCCGCCGCTTGTTGCCGATGACTCGGTACTTGTTCCCTCGCCAAGGGAGATCTACTGTGTGCTCAAGATGGAGTGCCTGGTAAACTGAATGCAACCGATAAAGTAGTGGGTTGCTATCTACGTATTTAGCGAGATGATCCGTTAACTGATCAAGTCAGACGATCGAGTCTCGTTGCGAACAGAATATCTAAGGCAGGAATGAGTGTCGCTCCGCTGTCAAAACTACGGTAAGATATTTTGATAAGACGGGCCCAGTTGCGATGATTTCATCTGCACAATCGGGCTGCAGAGTGCCTTGTGTGACCAGCGGATGTATCATTTGCATCGCGTCGGGTAGGTAGGTACCACATGGACTTTGCAGCCCATCTACCTGTCTGGTACGGTGTCGTGTTGTATCCTGTCCACTTCCATTTATAAGAATCCAGCTGGCAAAATAAACATGGTACATTCAACTCGGTTGGTGATAGGTTTGAGCAGATATTAAGGTCGACACACTACTTGGGATTAATCTCTTCCGCTTCATGTGATGTGGAGTTATGAGCTCCCAAATGTCACCTCAGGCTATGAGCCTGGTACGTTCCTGGGACTAGGCGTCAGTACAGCATCGAGTAGTACTGATTTGGCTGGCAGGGTCAAGTTTGATCGGACTAATCACTAAGTTGTCCCTAGCGTGCTCGTCTGTTTCAGCAGCTTCGTCGAGGTGAGAACTCAATTGACCCAGCATCAAGTGGTCCCATAATCGAATGTTAGGCACCGTTCGTATTGAAGGTCTTCAATTTTCCTGGTGAAAGTGAGCCAAGCTCCCAGACTCGTCTGGATCGTCAAGGGTCTGTTTTGAACATTATCCCTTCCGATATTGCTATGGATCAGCTCAGCCGTTTTGTTAGCGGTTTGACTGTCCATCAAACTGTTGCATTCAGTCTTTACGTCATGAAATGCTGGAGCTCTCGTGGACCATGCGTTGTTCTTTTGATAGAACTGATTCTTTCCCTTGGGCGCTCGTCGGGACGCAGTCGTAACTCCAATAGACCACCATAGCTGAATGCCAGGACAGCAAATCAGCTCAATTGAGCCATATCCCTCTACAAAGGAAGAGCAATCATTTCTTTCCTTTCTTTCGACCCTTTTCCGCAGTCCCTGTAGACTCCTTGACGAACCCACCCTTGATCAATGCATCCCGACCGACGGCGTTGATGATTCGAAACCGGTCCGGCCCAAGGAGAATCCCACCGTACCATCGCGATACGACGACAATCACATCCCACACATCCATCAACTGCATGAGGTGGAGCAATCGCCCACCCGCAGCCGTCTCCCCGTCATCGTCGCAGTCCTGCACAATCATCTCTGCGGACTCGCCCTTCCCGTTGGCCGGTCTCTGTTGTCTAAGACGCCAAGCGCTGATATTGTGCGTCGCAGCAGCAACCTTCTTGTCCGTCGCCAGAAGATGATCCAGATACCCCTGAGCCTGCTCCAGACTGGTAACATGCGCAGCCCGTCCCACAAACACTGATTTCTTCTCCGTCACCACATCCGACAGCACCCAGTCGGGGGGACTGTCCAGCCCAAATGCATCTTGCAGTGAGAGGGCGGCGATATCTTCTGCGTCCAGCGCAGGGGGTGCCCTTGTCTCTGCCTCTGCTCCCTTCTTCTCGCTGTCCTGGTTTTTATTGCTGCTGCTGCTGTTGCCGCCCAAACCGAGCTCTTGGAACGCCTCGACCGCCTCATTGATGACATCAAACAGGCAAACTGCGCCAGGCTGGTACGTGCTCCCTACAATATCCTCCAGTACATCCACGGCTATCTTGCCCTCACCCCGTGCACCGGTGGATGCCGTCCCGAGAATTTTCGGCGGTGTATCCGGGTATGACGCATCGAAACCGAGGAGGAAGGATAGATGGGGATTATCGGGGATTTGCAGTTTGACCGTAGTGCTTGACAAGTCGCCGGGTCCGGAACCGCCCAAGTCTAGTGTTGAATTGGCTGTTGTTGCCGATGCTGATGTTGCTGCGCGGTGTACGGTGATGGTGTCGGGTTCGTAAATCGCATTGATGGCTTCGATCTCTTCGGCGAGGTCAGTATTAGAAAGTGATCCAATCTCTGATGTCATTATGTCCGTAGCCTTAGGATGAGGTATCTAGACAGTTGCTCGAGGCGTACAGACTATGAGTCGTAGTTTTCTTCATGGTGATCAGTTTGCAGTCAGATGGTCACATGACGTGACTCGTGAGTTTGGGATAGCTTCCACTCTGCAATTATTCAAAGCGACTATGGATGATTCTTCGGTGGCATTATACGCAGAAACAGTGTTCTTATTCTGACTTAACTGCATATTAAGCATTTTCAAACCAACGATGCTCCTTTTGAAGGGATGGTAGTGGCCAGTTCACAGTTGTTTTGGCATTGCGTTTACTCCGCAAACATATATTTTTGGTGTAAAGGTAAGGCACTATTATCTATTGTTATCAAGGATGACTCGATCACGCTGAAGGAGTATCTCATAACTGGGATCTTGACTCTTGACTAACATTGACTAATACTGAAATCGCTCAACTAAATCGCATTGATGCTATCATAAACAATCAACAACCAATTCCCATCATATTTCCCACGCCTTCTACCTGCAAATTCCTGAACTTCTGCGATAATTCCTCAGTATCATCCAAGCCATCTAGATCCTTCCTTTGCCAGAATGCGCGGAAACCCTCCACCAGTCTGTTGGTAATGACCGCCACATCCTTCTCAGGCATCGGGGCAAAACACAGGCGGAAGTACTGCCAGGCTTGATCCAAGGCCTCCTCTGAGGGCGCAAACAAGTCGCCCGGAACCATAAGACACAAAAATGGCTCCTGGGTCATGTGCACCCACACCGCCTTGGACAGCGTTTCGGGCGAGTATTTCTCATACAGAGGATGGGTATTGAAGAGTACCTTGATCCAGACAAACATACCCCCCATGGGCCAAGTGAAGTCGTACATTTGAACTTTGTCAATCACCTCCCAACCACTTTCCTCGCTCGACTCGGAGGGCTCTGATCCATCGCCTTTGATGACATACTTGCCTTCTTCAAGACTGATGCACATGGCCTGCATGCGCCGCTCATATGATCCTCGAAGGCCCTCAAGCCAGCGAACCCAGCCATCCATCTTCCAGCCTGATTTGTTTTTACTTTTGGGGCCACTGACATCTTCATCACCTTGTTGACCTAGGATCATCCCCGACACCATGGCCTGGACAAAACCGGATGGGAATTGTGTCGAAGTCTCAGTGAGACGGGTGATCCTCTCGATGACGGCAGGCTGTGCAGTAATCCAACCCAAGCGGCAACCAGGCGCAATGGTCTTGGAGAAAGTGTCCAATCGAATGACTCGTCCATCTGTATCCAGAGACATAAACGATGGCACAAGAGAGTCCAAAAACGGGTACCCGGACGATTTTCCGTGAGCATTATAATTTTGCGTGGTAGGTGACTCGTCAATGGGTGTGTTACGGTAACGAGCTGCCATTCTTTGAGCAGACGGATACTGCAAATTCCAATACGGATCGTCCTCGACGATGATAACGTCGTACCGCTGGCATAGAGCGTAGATCTCTTTCCTGCGATTGACCGACATGGTGCCTCCCGTAGGATTTTGACCAATCCTGCAGCCGCGTGAGAAAGAGCGGAACCGTTAGCTGCACCGCCTGCACCAAGTATCGCAACGACCAATAACGCTCTTGACTGTTGAACTTACGTGATGGTGTACAACAAATGCGGACGACGTCCTTTGCTGTAATCCCAGTGTTCGAGAACATCAGCCAGACCCCCTTTGCCGTATGCCAGTATACCTTGGTCATCCATGGTGACCGCGGCTATGTTGAGACCACGAGGCCGAGCTGTTTGTATGGCATTCATGTAAACAAACTCCTCGCAGAGGATGCCTTCGCGCTGTCGAATCGAGTCCCTATCTGGAGTCCAAATGTTTGTGAGAGTTTCGATGACTTTGTTGAATCCATCGGTCGCACCGCAGCTGAGCAGAGTTTCTGGACCTCCCGCATACGGCACATTGGGGTGCAGATGCTCCCTTGTGAAATTCCGAACGAATGATGCCATAGGAGGTAATCCCTGTGCCGTGGCGTACTGCAAGGCAGTGGTGATGTCGATTTTCTTTTCCAAATCGTCCGTTTTGCTCTCTTTGGGGACAACCACGCGGGTTAGTGAATCTGTATCCTTCTCCGGCGCCGATTTGCCGTTGTCCGGGCTAGGGCCGAGACGCTGAGGATGAGCAACGGCAGCTTCTAGCGTGTCATACGGGAAATATGAAGCGTGAGGCATGCCTGGAGGAGATGAGTCAAATGTATTGATTAAACGATATTATCAGAAAAAGCTCGCCCTGCATACCGCCAGAGAGGTTACCCATGCCCGGGATGACATAGTACTTGTATAATCTCTTGAGATTACTCGACTCACGCCGAACTGCAGTAGAGGAAAAGTGATGCGACAAGTCCAATGGAGCGGACAGCTCCATTTGCTTCAACCGAGCCATAATGAGCAATCAAGTCCTTTCACAGCAATTTGATGGAGGAAATAGTGAATGGGGGTATAAGAAAAACAGACGCCAGGTCAACCAGGGGATAAGAATCAGGGCACTCTGATAAAGGGACCATGGATCCTGCCCGTTATCTCCTGCTAGTCAACTACTGGAGAATCATCGTAAATGTCATGATTGATAAGCAGCCTCAACGGCTAAGGTAGTGGGCCATCCGGGGGGCGCCGCTGCTGGCCCATGCCTCTTGGCCTCGGCAAATCCTACGTATCTACCTATCTATCGCGATTGCTAATCCGGTGAATTATTGGCCAGAGGACCGTAAAATACTGTATGATGAGTCCAAAGAATATCCACGGGAGCCACTCTAAACGCTCGATTTGAATGAACAGTGGTCCAAGTCAGATATATGATGACCCTTGTCGAATTGCGGGATGGTAAAGCATTGTAAGAACGTGGGGCGTCAATGGTCAAACAAGGATGATAGCATCACATCAATAAGTAGATGTTAGGCTCTATGGAGTACTTGGCAGATATCTAACCAGTGTTTGATGTGCGGCAATGGTCGGCAATTATATTATAACTGCATTGTGCTAAGGATGATGCAGATCTGGGGAAATCTAAAGCTCCACATTTTCGTATGTTAATAGTCACAGTACTCTCTGCATAAGTCGACTTTGTTTATAGACTATCACCGGTCCTCTGTATAGAGCGGTTTTATTTTTCTTCAGCTGTGAATAATGCTACTTACTGCTCATCCTAATCCAGAACAGATACGTTTCTTCGCCACCTCCGAATGTCTTCGCGCCACGAGCTTAGATAATCCTGTTTGATAGGCTCAAGCTGATGACTAAGGCCGTTGTCGATCCTCCAGTTGGACAATGGCATCCCCATCTTGCCCAACTCTCACTCTTCCATCATTCTATTCTTTGGATAACCAAATATACCCTCATTATCATCTGTAACATTGGAAGACATGCCTTTCTATCCCAGAAGAGAATGAATGGTGTTCTTTCACTGGGCTGTGAGATTCATTCTTTTTACTACTAGTCGTCTAGACCCCACTCCAGCCGTCGGCTTAGATCGATTAGCCTTTCCGCCGACTCCCAGTTCTTGATATTGATATCTGTCGCTGGCTTGATATTTGTTTTATAGAGACTTCTCACAATGATTGGTGAAGGTCCGGAGGACGGTTCCCGACTTTATATCCCAGCAGTTCTCGACTCCGAGAATCGTGCCGCGGATCCCGATACTTCCGACGACTGTTTGCTCCCTCGAGATGAAGAGGCCGGCTCCAGTTATGTTCCCGTCTGGTTACGGGAATCCTCCAAGTCGTTTCGCTGGGGCTGGGTACCTCTGCCTATTCGAAAGGTCGGACGCGCTACTGCGAACTGGGTGAAGGGCCCGAGTCCTCCACATTCGCTGCTGCCGAAACCGCTATTCCCGCAAATCCAAGAGCTTCCTGTCCGGTATCTGGACCGATTGTTCCCTAAGCGGAAGCACAAGATCTCTTTACTTGTACTCCTATATATCGCTTGGTTGACTCCTTGGACCATTGTTCTGCTTCACTCTCGCTCGGCTGGCTACATCGAGGGATATGGAGGACCGCAAACCCTTTCGTGTTCGACGACCTTTTGGTGAGGATTCCTTGCTTGATATATGTTTAAGAGCCTGTTCTGACTACATATCAGGGAGCATGGAAATGCATGCGGTCTCAACGGGAACGATTGCCGTCCGTTTTCTGCCTCGACCGTTGTCTTCCGTTGCCCGGCAAACTGTCGCGATGTCAAATTGTTGCAACCTCACACCGTTGGCAACCAGACTTACAGCTACCGAGGACTAGTCGTCGGAGGAGGACAAGCAGATTCTTTCGAGCCCGGTGTTTACCGAGCCGACAGTTTCGTGTGCCAGGCCGCTATCCATGCTGGTGTCATTACGAACGCAGTTGGCGGCTGCGGTGTTGTGAAGCTAGAAGGAGCGGCGCACTCATTTTCTGCTTCGAAACAGAACGGGATTCAGTCTGTGGGCTTTCCGTCGACTTTCCCAAAGGCCTTCAGCTTCGTCGACCTGGCTTCCTCCCAGGCTACTTGCCCACCAGATCCAAGATGGACTCTCCTGGGCATAACCATTGCCGCCCTCGCACCTCTGTGGCTCTTCTCGACGTCGCCGCCGGTCCTGTTCTTCAGCACCTTTTACATGCTCTTTTGCCAAGTGGGGTTCGTGTCTGATCCGCCGTCGATTTCCCAGTTCACCGACCTTGTGTCCACTCTACTTGCGCGATTATTACCAGCATCGTTTGTAGTCCACGTGCTGTACAAGTATTGCGCGCGTCCTCTCCTGACGCCGCTTTCTCAGCCAAAGTTCCAGTTGACCAAGGCATTCTTGTACTTGCCACCTGCTTTCATCGGCGCTTTGAACAATTACACTTTTGCGAGATTGATTCCGCTGGAGAGACTGACCCCTCATGATATTCAGCGGCAACCGGGAGCGAAATTGGCGTTGGCTGTGGTGATTCCGACCGTGGTCATAGTTATCCTCAGCCAGGCCTGGCAAATCCGCCAGAGTGGCTTGATGCCACATTATCTCAAGGTGTACTGTACCATGGGTCTCATCCTCCTGATTCTGCTTCCACTACCAGGGCTTCGTCTTCGGATTCACCATTACATTCTTGCCATCCTGCTGATGCCGGGGACGGGAATTCCCACGCGACCGTCGTTGATCTATCAAGGGCTGCTACTTGGGTTATTCATCAATGGTGTAGCGCGCTGGGGCTTCGCATCCATCATTGAGACACCGGCAGCCTTAGGAGAGCTACCGGGCTTTGACGGAGTCAAGGGTTGGTGGGGGTCAACATACCCCAACATCACAGATGCGTCTGTCATCATTTCGCTTCCTGATGCGGGCTCCCCCGAGTATCGTGGCAATGGTAACATCACTTTCGAGTTATGGGAGTGGGAACGCATGGCTAAGCTCGATGTCGATGGGGTCAGTGTTTTGGTCAATGATGTGGAGCGCTGGCGAGGGTACTTGGACGAGGATAAGCGCGGAGAATTCACCTGGCACCGACATGGACATAATGGTCTCGAGTTGTTGCACGGTCCTACGATCGAAAGTGACCCGGACGCCGGCGTGGCTGTCACCGATGCGAAGGATGAAGAGAAACCCGAGGATCTCTTCTTCCGCTTCGCCTTCCTTCGAGGAGCTGAAGCGGGCAAGTACGGACCGGCAGGTGTTTGGCTTGAAGACGGGTCGTGGGTCCCACCAGCGCCCCCGGAGGCTTAGATGTGATACCCGTATATATCGTGCCTTGGTTTATGATTTTGACGACAAAGACTCGGTTAGATGGTACAAATGACTAGATACGTTCTGATGATAAGATTGGATATTAGGCGCTGATCGGATGATATTCGTTGACAAGATTATGGGTTCTTTATCCCACGTTTGATTCTCAATTGATTTCGGTCTATCCCCGCATTTCTTCTCAAACAGTCTAGTAGCAGTACTCGCGTCATACATCTAATTCATTTACTCCCTAGTTCCCTTTTTCAAGCACAACCGGTCGCAGCAGCTCCCACTTCGGTCGGATAAACCGCCGTCTGACCCGGCTGTTTACACTGGCAGCTCACCGTCGTCGTAGGGATCCCCTCACTCGCACACGCCGCCGGCGAAGTAATACAATACTCAGCCGTGGAGGTGGCAGTGGTCATCCCAGCAGGACAGTTACTCGACGGCATGCAGAAGGTATCCACAGTCGACCGTCCAGGCAGCAGGGTCATACTGTACCACTGATCCCTGGCACACGAGCACGACACAACTATCATTCACCATATTAGCCTTGCCTGCCTTTATCGTCCTTCCCCCCCGCCACCCCGGAGAAGTCGGGGTAAATCATGGGGCAAACTCACTACTAATTGTCGTGCTGGTCGTCTCACCCGCCAGCACACCCTCATACAGCGTCGTCGTCGTCCACGGGATCCCGCCGTTCAAGCACTTGGTTGTAATCCAGCTCGCGTCAACGGGGTAGCACGTCGAGGCCTCCATGCAGTGGCCTGGGTGCCAGACGCCTGGGAAGTAGCCCGCCGAGCAGGAGATTGGGGGCGGCGCGCTGTAGCAGTAGGAGACTGGGGTGCCCATTGTGCAGTCTGTTGTGTGGATGAGGCTGGAGCCGGGTCCGCAGGTTGGGGTTGAGGCCGGGGCTGTGGTCATGGGGGCTGCTGTTGTTGGTGTTTGGGTCGGGGTGGGTGATGGGAGGGCCGAGGCCGATACCGAGAAGGCTGCGGCAGCGAGGAGGACGGGAAGTATGGTTGCGGCCATTTTGATGGTGTTTGGGTTTCTTCTCTGGACCATTGAGTGGTTTGGAGTGATTGTGATGGAGGAACTGTGAAGAAGAGGCTGTCTTTATAGATGTTGGTTTTTGTTGACAGGGTACAAGGAGGTAGTAACGCAGAGTAGTACGAGAGCTATATTCGGCTCAGCCGCTCAGGGCTGAGAGGATGAGTACATCCTTTTTACGAGCTTGTCAAGGCAAAATGTCTTAGACATGCAGTGCCAGGACTGTGACGGCACTTCAAGCAAGCTGTCGAAGCCACTCGTTCGACGCAGTGATTGGGCCATTGCTAATGCAGGATGGATCGACGGCCAAGACTACCCCAACACAGGTTTGTGGTTGGTGATAGGGTGGCCGGGTGTTTCACTAAAGTTAGCTTGTCACGATGCTCTAATGATTCAGTAAGAAAATGATAATACTATTTTTAAAAGGCCCCTGGGCCAAGGGGAAATACCGGATTTCTCCAGTCTTGGTTCAATTCATATATCCAACAGGTCTCATCAGCTCATCGAGCGAATGAACATGACGCTGTCCGGCCTCCTCCCTCAGGGACAAAGCGGTAGGTTGCAAAATGTACAGAAAAAGGGAAGAAAATTGACAACAGGAAGAATGATAAAAAAAAAAAGGGGATATCCTGAAAATCAAGACGCGAGAACAAAATCTGACGTTAGTC